CAAGGTGTAGACGTTCATGTCCAGTAGTACACACGACATACTCTTCCTCTCATACCTCTTTTTTTTGCTGGATTCACACTTATGTGTGTTACTTTATCTAAAATCGTATTTTCCGTCAACATCATCATCATCTTCATGTGCCCTGCCAACTGGCGTAGGCGCTCATGCGTCTCCACAGATCACTATCCCTGGTTGCCTGGAACAGCTCTCTTGATGATATTCCTCCATGCCATCATTTTAGCCCATCCATCATCTCTCTTGGTCTGCCTCTACCCCTTTTTCCACTGATTTTTCCAGTTGTCACAATGTTCTCCAATGTCTCTCTTTCCATTATCCATCAACATATGTTCATATATAGTCTTCAGAGTGTGTGCCTTTTCCATTATGAGTGCTGCTACCTGTGCCGCTTTACAGCAAAGAAAAAACCTGCACGTTCATTACCTAGCAGTCCTGCATGTCCTGTACATAAGTACCTGTAATGTTGACGTGCTAATGCTTGGTACCCACTCAAGCTACTTCTGTCCATTTTTAACTTTATGAAGACATCAAGAAGTTGCTGATGATGGATTTGTGTTCTGCCTGGTAAGCCATCATCAAACTTGTTTCACTCACAGACACAGAATTCATCCATTGAAAGACAATTTGGGAGGTTGGCGGGGGGGGGGGGGGGGGGGGGGGGGGGGGGGGGGGGGGGGGTGTAGAGGTTCTGGAAGATATTCAACACTAAAGAGGCAGCTTAGGCAGACTTTTAATCAGGTTGCAACTGGTAGAAGAAGACAGAGCACTTGTTGGAGTTTCTGAGTGTTTTGTTGTCACTTCTTTACAAGTTGTCCAGTTCTGCCTTTCAGCATTGTGTTTTGAAGAGGCATCGTTTGAGAGCCTTGGTATTTGCTATGTAGTTGCTCGTATATATGGCTTCGGCTGTCCCATCTATCAGTCGCTCTGCAGTGGTATCGTGTGGTATCATGTTTTAAAAAAAACTGAACTTTAGAATGCAATCCCTCCATGTGGGTTCCAGGGTTCCATTGTATTTAAAACAAAAAAAGACCCACTTTCACCCCCAACAAGCATGTTGCATGGGTCAACTAATTGGGAGCTGCCTTTGAAATCAGACTGCATCTGCTCAAGCAGCAAGGAACAACCAGCTGCACACAAATAAGCCAGTAAAACAGATAGACACGCAAAACTCAGGTCCTAGCACAAAGCCAAAGTCCAAATGAATAAAGAACCAGGACTTTTCGCCGGAACTTACAGACTGTGAAGAAAGACAAAGAATAATGGAATCCATGTTGAGATTCTGATAATTATAAATTATATCAAGTCTTCAGAATGACTTAAAACGTGTGTGAATCTGTGACAGACCTTTGGGTTTGGGAACCACTGGTCTACAGCATTGTCTTACTTTCAGTGCTAGGAAACTCATGGTGCGTTCATTGGTTTATGTTTATATGGTACAGATTTCTTTATGACCTATTCATCTGTTATGTTAACTTATTCTAACTCATTTATTACTATAACTTCTTCTGCCTCTAAAAGTGTTACTTTTCAATAAGAAAACACTAAAAAAAAAAAAAATTTGCTCTAAGGTACAAAAATTGTACTTAGACAGTGTTGAATTAAGAACATCTAGGGACTGAAAAAGTAAAAGATGAATAATAGTCAGTTACGTTAACTGCGATATCAGCCATCATGCAGTGCTGGTTTTAGTTATGAGCTAAATAATCTTAAGGCCTCACAATCTCCAGGGGCATAAAAAAAATTCTTTTTCTTCACAAATGCGGTTTTTAAAAATATATTTTAAAAGCAGTTTTCTTTCAATATATTTTAAATGTTTTAGAAGATAATATATAATTTCTGTGATTTGATATATTTAAAATGTGTATTTATTTTAAAGTTTTCCGAGATTAGCTATTGTAATTTAAAACGGTAGGGGGCTTCTAGGCTTTATTTAGCGTGATACCTCATGAAGTCAAAATCCTGCCCTCTAGCCTGGATAATGATATGAGTTGAATTGATTCAAGAACCAACATCACAGCAATAGGGGCATTCTAATAAGCACTCCATCCCCATCTTCAGCAGCCAGAGAAGAGTTTCCGATACTAATGGTGCCAGTAGCATTCTGATTAACCATCTGTCTTGCCTTTCCTCTGAGCCTTGAGCATCTGCCAGAACCTCTCATCACTCCCCGCTGCAATGATATAATTGGATAGTGATATAGAAGTGAACAACAACAAATTCATGCTGTCTCCACAAAAGAGGTTAGATTCAATGTATTCGCTGCTAACTATGGGAATATGACATGATGAGGTCTCAGTCTCTTTCACAGAGCGACTCTCTTACCATTGTGCTGTGAGAATGGTCTTTTTCTGTACTGTCCACTGCAGAGACCCGGGTAAATGTCGAGGATAATGGTTGTTTTGGGAAAGAAATGTCACTGACCCTCTAAGTCCCACATTGGGAGCAGCAGCTAAATGTTCACCTGCAGATCTATCTGGTCATGGGTTCGAATCCAAAGGGAACCTGACTTTTTAAGAAATGACCTTGGCTCCCCGGGCAACCCAGCTTTAAATTGTTTGGTAAATACCTGGAAAGCAAAGGTGGCTTGCGTGATATTAACCACATCACCCACTGAGTGAAGATTGGTCTATAAACAATACAGATCTAGTACTAAATGCTCAAGACGTCTGAAAGCGTAGAAAAGGGTCCTTTTAAGCCGCTGAGCCACACATATAGAAGTCAGAGACGAGATTTATCGTTGACCACACTGTGCTTTGTGTTATCAAATTTGTCCTAAAAAGTAGTTTGTGGGAAGTAGCCTATTTACATGTAGCACATTTGGGTATAGATAGAGACTAAAGATACTGTAGTTAATGACTCAGACAGCTCATGGGGGATTATTTATGTGCATACTAATCCAGGTTGGTCTTAAATTGCCATTTTTTACTGTATTTAGTGATCAATAGTTTAATTAGGTGATTTTGTCATTGTGTTTTATGTACGTTTTGTTTGTGCCATGAGTACATTTTGTATAGTATAAACAGTATTTAAGATTTTTCTGACAATTGCTGTTGTTTACTGCATTTAGTGGTTTATTTTGGAGATTTTGTATTTTGTATTTTCTTGATGTGTTGTTATCATGTTTGAACCATGCACAAACATGGACATTGTCTTCATAAGACAGAAGAAAATAGTCATGACAGAAAAAAGAAATGTTTAGTACTAAACTAGATGTAACGATGAAAGATTGACTTAGGACAATGATATCAGGAGGAGAGTCAGCACAGAACCAATACTGAACTTTATAGGTAGACAATAAATCAAATGGTTTGGCCATGTGCCAAGATTGACTTTAGACAGGGCAACACAGGGAGCAATGTTATACATATACAGCAGTAACAGAACCAGAGGCCGACCACGCAGAATGTGGATCGCAGAAATATCAGACAATGTAAAGTACTGTATACGAAGCGAACAGAAGGGCCCGTTTCAGAGATCTCTTCCTGCCCTGACGCCGTGAGGAATTCCAGGAGCTGAGAAAAGAAGAAAAGAAAGAAGGAGAAGAATCAGTTGTTATCTATGTAAGGACATATATACACATTTATTCAAGCTGGTCTTAAAATGCCTTTGTTTGTTGCCTTTGTTGATTGTTGGTTTACTGAGGGTTAGAGCAGTTTTGCTAGAAATTTTTTCAAAATATTGGGACTTATTAGGGTTACATTTTAGGCTAAGTGGATGACAGTGAGAGTAACTGCTTAGGAAAAGATGAGAGTAGAACACTATATACACCTATAGGAAGGAGACAAATTGTATTGGGCTCATGTAATCAGGAGATCTTCTTCTTCAGTGATCTCTGGTCATGCGCATAATCCACTGTGGGTCATAAACTGGGATGTCTTTTCAAGGTCTCTTAGGTTTCCCCAAAGCTTAGTTGTCAGTTCTACTGGGTGTTGCCATATGTCGCTCCGCAGCTCCGTCAGGAGAGGACAGTCTTGCAGAACATGTTCTGGAGTCTGTCCCAGGAAGGTTGGAGTATTGGAGCGTGGAACAGCATCATTGTTGAATTTTAATGTAAACTTTTCCTCCTTTGTAGACAATGAGAAGAGTGTTGCTACAGTTGTAATCAGGAGATGAAATTGCAGTGAATTAAGGGTTGAAGAAAAGACAGTGTTGTTGAATAGGACTTGCATTGAGAAAACCAGAGGGCAGTATAACTGGAAGGGCTTTACACTGTAGCAATAAAGGCAGACCTCTCTGTATCTTTTCTGTGAACAAACAGCTAAAAAGTCTAACATTAATATGTTTTGCTTTTCGCCCAGACTATCCTAATGTTGTGTCTTCAGTACACCACTAGAAAACTATTTCCCTTTGTACTTGACCTTTCCTATGCACTGGGGTGAGTTGTATAAGATATTAAAAGATAGGACGAGCTGGGATGAGTTGGTCGATGGGTCCACTGGGGAATAGAGAGTTGTGTGTTGTTCGTCTATCATGAATGATGAAGGCCACTTTCCTCCAAAGTAGTAATGGTCAATGATTATGAGTACGAAGATGGCTAATTAGTCCAATATGAGTCTGGAAAGTTCTTGAGCAGTGCAGACAACAGACGGAAGCCGCAGTAAGTGTGGGATTAGCAGTACAATTCTTTCTAGTCTGCCTCCGTTTCTCTGCCTGTGCAACCTCCGCTGCCTGGCAGGCCCATGTACCATGCCTGAGGAATGTACGCCATCCAGAACGGTCTTGCGCAGCAGTCTCCCGCGTCACTGTATTGATGCCAAAAGAATTGAGAGCAGTCTTGAGATTGTCCTTATAGCCCTTTTTTTGTCCTCCCGGGGACCTCTTCCCTTGCTGGAGCTCGCCATAAAATACTCTCTTTGGAATGCAATATTTTGACATGCAGTTAGGTAGAAAAAAAGAGTTAAAGAGAGAGCAGAAGCACCTCTAGATATAATTAAATCCATGTTCTTTTGCTGCTTCATTTCAGGTTGAGAGCAGACACCACTATGTCGCTGCAGCAGGAGCAGCAGATCAGTGAAGATGATGATGATGATGTGCAGCTGACCAGGCAGGAGATTGTCTTCTCTCAGATGAGAGCCAGAGGCAGCAAGTGGCCCAAAGCTATTGGGGTGGTTGAGATTATCATAGGCTTTATTCTTTCAATCTTAGGTAAATTGTTCACTGGATATTTGAATTTAGTCACCTTATTTAGTGTCATATCCAGGCTTAGATATCTGTTTCATGATGAGACGAAGTTTTTTTTCCTACGACGAATCTTCAAAGTTATCAAAGATTCAAACAACGGGGAATGGAGAGTGGGAAGCAACAACAAAATTCATAATCTGTTTAAATCACCACTGATCACTGGCAATAGACTGAAATAGAATGTCAGATGACAGAGAAGTAAAAACTGTATACACAAGAGAGATGAATGGTCGTAGACCACGAGGCAAACCAAAAGACGATGGAGAGATAATGTCCAGGCAGACCTGCAAACACTTGGTGTCACCAACTGGAAAGAAAAGGGCAACCAGAGAGATGAATGGAGGTCGGTGATATCTGCAGCAGTGAACCTCAAGGGCTCGGTATGCTAAAGAATAATAATTTAGTGTCATATCTTTATTTGTCAATTGAGACAAGAAAGTGAATTATTAAAAGCTATATAAATCCTATCTTGAAATATAGAATTGAATCATGGACAGTTTGTAAATTAGTGAAAACTTATTTGGAAGCTGTGAAGATGTGTTTTATTTTTTTAGACGAATGATGAGAATACCCTGGACAGATAAAAAGAGTAAAGAAGACGTCTTGAAGGAAAAACTGACTCATGAAGAGAAGTGATAGCCCACATCAACAAGAGACAGTGTACATTCTTTGGTCATGTGATGAGAAGGAGATAGCTGGAGTGCATCGTAAAGTAGAAAAGTTGGAAGGGAAGTGAGGCAGAGGGAGATCGAGAGAAAAGATGCTGGACAGTTTGATATCATGGCATGGAGTATCATCTGTCTCAGAGTTGATAAAAGTACACGAGACAGAAAGTTGTATATAAACAAAGACTACCAATGCCACGCGGCATTGACTTTAAGATATGGTGTCATAGAACATAATTTCCAGGGTTTTAAACTGTATATTTTTTCCTTACATCCCCTGTGGGTTTCAGGGCTCTACTTTGGAGGAAAAGAGAATAGATTCACTGCACCCCTAACAACTTACTTACTTAGTCGCTGCTCTTCTACCTTGGGGTGTAGAGGTTTGCCAGAGATCGCCAGACGTCTCTATCGGCAGTTTTCTCTCTGGCTTTGTTCCATTCCAGTCCTCTGTCAGTTAGGGACTGTCGGATGTTGTCTTCCCAGCGCACTCCCCCTTAACAATCATATTTAAACTTTAAACCAAAAAAAAAATTTTTTTTGCATGTTCTTTACCGGATGTTACATAACCAACCACAGCATTTTTTTTTTGCGGTTTGTTATTTTACTGTATTTACGTTCAGTAGTTTGCTATTGCTTTCTTACTGGTTGGCTGTGGATACCACTGTTGAAAACCAATGCAATTCTGTCTGCTGCCATATTGCCTGCGGTTGGGATCAAACCCGACAACACAGAATTATGGAGCGCGTTCACAACACCTAAGCCACAGGCTCCGACAGTCAGGAGGTTTCTGACGTATCATATGTTGGGCCGAAATGCCCAACCTATCTGAAACTACAACACAGCATGCCTTTTTAAGATTGAATGCAGAAGTTAAATTGCTTACCTGCACCATTGATGGAGACTGCACATAACTAAGCTGCCTTATGCATTGAATACATGTGTATGCTGTTGGATTTTCTGAGGCTGCAGTCTGTGTCAATTTGTTTTTAATTGTTTACACTGGACAGTAATTGACATTATGGTTTCATTAGCACAGGGACAGAGCAGCTATGGGGTGAACAGTTTGCTATGAAGTTAGAAACTGTGATTGCCTGATTACCTGACTTGTAGAACATTGCTGTCATAATAGTCTGCCTGAAGGAAACTCTTTATGCTAGATGTTTAGAATCACAGGACTATTCCTGCGTGTGTGTGCTGAGTGATCCTTTGAGCATGATCTGGTGGGCCGAGGCAGGCTGATTACGCAGACAGGGGTCTGAGTCATTGCAAAACTCTCCTGTGTGTGCAGTTACCTTCATATTTGTCCCAGGGCATGCAGGCGTTATTGGTAACGCAAGAGCTGATAGACTGGCAGGTGCTACATTAATTGAAGATCGGCACAGCCAAACATGAGAAGCACACGGGACACACACGAAGTCTTGTTAACCAATATAGGACTGGCACTATATACCAAACGGCGATGATGAATATGTTGAAAGGGGAATCTGAGCGCCTATGGATGTGTCCGGAGTGCTGTGAAGATAATCTAACTCATAACTCATAATTCATAACTCTTTTTCCTGTCAGATCTATTTAAAGGGATCTGGAATACCATTATTCTGTCTTAAGAATAGTATAAAAGTTAATTGATGTTGTGATCATGTCAGTGCCTGGATATAAACAGTATGTTTAGGTGATGGTGAACAAAGGGATTCATGTAAAAGCCAAGCCTGTTTATTCTCGAGGCACTGTCCCTCTCTTTCCCCCCAAATGTGACTGATGAAGCTATAACCCAGGCTGTTAATTATCAGAAAAACTTAAGAAGCATAAGAATACATAGTAAGCTGACCTAGGCATTGCAACCAGAATGACATTTACAGATTTCACTTCTCTTCTTGTCACCATTTGGGAGCTAAAAGAGAACATGTTTATTCACTGGCTTGAGACCCCTGTGCACCCCCCCCCCCCCCTTTCCAGTCCTTAAATTTGATCACAAAGCTACTCCCGCCCCCTTCCCGATGCCCCTGACTGCCCCAGCACCCACAAGGAGGAGGGGGAAGGTAACGCCGACTTTAAGAAACACTGGCCTCTAGCTGCTAAGAAAAAAATGAGAAGCTTCAAGTACGAAGGTAGATAACAATGCAATGCGTTTTTTTTTTCTTTTTCAAACTAATTTTTCATGGGATGTGGAAAAAACGTTGGTGCTAAGGAATATCATTATCATGAAGCAGGTCCTTTGCATAACGTCGCTCTCATCGCGGTCTGCCTGAAAGAAACTCTGTCTCTCGCCACTTCTCCGGCCTCATGTACGCATACTCAAGGAATCACTTATATCCTGTGCCTATCTTCGTGTTGGTCGGCCCCTGCCCCTCCTTCCTGGTACCATGCCTTCTGCTATAATTTTTTTCCAATCTGTCCTGGCGCTTGATGTGACCAAAACATTTCATCTTTCTGTTTATTAGCCAATCTTCCTTGATGTTCAGATCTTTCAAGATGTCAGTATTTCTCCTCTTCTTTGTCCAAGATATTCTGAAAATCTTTCTATAGCCTTTCAGCTCAAAAGCCCCTTTTCTCTTTCAAATATAACTAGTAAAAATGAACTTTTAGTGACTTTGGTGTTAATTATTTAAAATACTTGGAAGCCTTGGTTTTACATAGCACTTTGACCTACACATTGCAGCCAGAATGACATCTGCAAATTTTACATCTCTGCTGGTCACTGTTTGGGAGGTGGCCCCATGACCAATACCAGACAGACAGACATGTATTTTCTGTTTTATATTATAAATTAGGATGTATTGAAAAAATTGTCAGAGATAATGGTTAGTTGCGTATCCTTTACAGGATGTTGCAGAACCAACCCCAACAGCCCCTGGTTTTTGTGTGGTTTTTCTAGGCAAATTTACGTCCAGTAGTTTGCCATTGCTTTCTGGGCGGTGGGCTTCTTTGATACCACCATCGAAACAAATGCAAGGCGCATGGCCCCCAGCTGGGATCGAACCCGGCATCCTGGCATTACGAAGCGTTCGCATCGACTTAACCACAGAGCTGACATTGTCAGAGATGGTAACGCTAAATATTGGTTTTTCTCCTGGTCTAGGCGCTTTAGAAATATTTATTATTCCAATGTCGGAGAGCAAGGATGGGAGTAACCAAGTTGTGATGGACAAAACAAATTCTTATGGTGCTGGCTTCTTTGCAGGACTAGTGGTGAGTGATGTCCACTGATTGTTGTGTTTGTGTAGTCTGTCTTTTGACTTTTGTGTAGATTCGTGGGATTTTTTTTAATTTCTCTCATATTGTAGGATATGATCAGTCAGTCCTGTCTCATTGTTTCACTGTAAATTCTTAGGCTTTGTATATTTTTCTTAAATTGTAGGATGTAGTGCAGTTCTGTCTGCTTCACTGTAGATTGTTAGGATTTTGTTTGTTCTTCTTTTATTGTAGGATGTGTTACTGTCTGTTCAAGACCTGCCCAGCTGACGGGACATGCTGCTGACGTCACCAAACCGGTCTAACAATCCGCTAGCGCAGTGTTTCCTAAACTTTGTTCGTCAGGCCAAAAAAAAAAAACTAAAAAAAACTTTCACGGCACACCTACTCCTGAAGCCGTTTGAATACTTAAGAAAAGAAGAAAAATCGTGCAAATTTAATATCAAGCAGATTTGGAAAAATTCTTGATTATTGCTGCGGCACCCCTGACATACGCTCGCAGGGCCCCTGGGGGCCACAGCACCAGATTTGAGAATCGCTGCATTAACATATTGTTAGCCTGTTTTGGTGATGTCAGCAGCATGGCCCGTCAGCTGGAGCCAGTCTTGGTCTGACTGTTGAACTGTAAATTCATAGGTTTAAACAAAAATATATGTTTTAACTCTTTGAGTCCCAAGGAACGCATCATACGTTCATAGGTTACTGCCTAGAAGCCCAATGAAGGCATGATGCACCGATTTTACGTCTCTTTTGACTACCCCTTGAGCCTGTGATGCTAAACCCTCTGGGACTCAAAGAGTTAAATTGTAAAATGTATTTGTGCAGTCTTTTCTACTGTAGATTCTTAGTATTTGTTTGTTTTTCTTTTAATTTTGGATACATTATGCAGCTGCTCGGATTTATTTGTTTTCTGACATGGTGTGTTGGTGCAGTTTGTCTCTTCTCCTGCCTGCTGGATGAAAGTCTTGGGATTTGTTTTCTTGTGTGCTGTGTTTGTACAGTCTGTCTGTCTGTCTGCATCACTGTAGTCTCTGGATATATTTATGTTCTGGCAAGGTATGTGTGTTTGTTAAATACGACAAATTCAAGAAAGGGGAAGAAACAAGAAAAATATCCTGACAACCGCTGATATCAACAGTTATGAGACTAAGAAGATGGTGATGTATTGTGCACATCCTGGGGAGAAGCAGGCAGGGAATCACTAAACAGACATTGAAACGGGAAGCAAATTGATTAAGGAAACCAGGACGTCCAGGAGATGATCATTGATGAGAGAGGCCAAAGGTGCTGGATGGATATCAGAAAGATGACACAGAATGGGGGAATAGATCCTTTCCCTTTCCTCATAATTTCACACTTTTGTTGCATTCTGCATGTAGTCATCATCAAGTGCCTTGCCAGCTGGTGTAGACGTTCATTTGTCGCCACAGATCTCGGTCTTTGGTGTTCTAGATCAATTCCCCTGATGATTTTCCTCCATGCCACTGTCTTAAGCCATCCACCAACATTTCTCTTGGTCTGCCCCTGCCTCTTTGACCAGTGATCTTTCCGGTCGTCACAATATTTTCCAGTGCTTATTTTCTCATCACATGACCAAAGAACTTTGTTTTCTTCTCTTTGTATATAATTTTCTACTTTAATTAGCCTTTCCAGGCAGTCATTATTAGTTATTTTAGCAGTCTAAGGTATTCACAACATTCTTCCCAAGAACCACATCTCAGTTGCCTCCAAACTGTTATTGATTTATTTGCTCACATTCCAAAATTCACTACCATACAACAGAATGGGCTTGATATAACATTTCTTTACTCGTTTTCTGATGTTTAATGAGAGGGATTTATTACAAAAGATACTTTTTATCTTCTGAAATGCTGCCTCTGCCTGGCCAGTTCTGCTCCTAATTTCTGTCACACATTGTCCATCTGATGTTATGATTGTCCTTAAATACTTAAATTTATACACTTGGTTGAGCACTTTCCCTTCTGTTGCTGCGTCACATTTTGGGGTTATCTGCCACATTTTGGAGTTATCTTCTTCTTTAATGTAACCATTGTTTCTGTCTTCTTGACATTCAAGGAAAGTCCCTTTCTTTTCTCTCTCTAGTACCACAATGTCAAATAGTTGTCTTAAGTCTTCTGCCTTTTCAGCTATTTATAGTGCATATGGTGCTATACCTATATTAATATAAACAAATCAGCACTCAATGCATAGTGTCGTCAGAATCACAGGACCACCTTATATCCCCCCAGACATTACCTGGTGCTAATTTTAGGCTAGGTTGACCAGCCATATTCACTATATACCCATTCCTATTGCCTCTGGTCAGCTGTGAAATTTGCTGATCAGCTGTGTAATTGTTTGCTTTATTTCTGTAACTCCAGATGGTCATTACCGGAAGCACAGCCTTAAGAGCAACAATGAGTCAGAGAGATACAACAGTGAGTCTGTTTCATTTTTTTTGGGGGGTTAATTTATTTGTTCTGTATGAATTTGGTTGGAATTTATTTGCATTAGCTTTAGATGTTATTACGATAAATTTGTAATTTAACTTGCTTTCTATTTTGTTGTTGCAATTGCAAGTAATTTATTAATAAACCTGGTCTTCCTGACGAAGTGGTCAAGCCATTTGCCTCGCGCTCAGAAGGTTGTTGGTTCAATTCAGGGCTGCGCCGTTCAATTCACGAGTGCAGTTTTTACGGAGATCCCTGGGGATCGCTATTGGAGCTACTGAATTCATGTTTTGTGTGGTACTCTTGGCAGGTGGCTAGCCATTCTGCGGAGAGAGACGGAGCCATATGGGATCAAACCCAGTGCAATGAAGTTAGTCCTCTCAGCTTTAACGTCAACCCTTTATTTATTGATAAACATTAAAATTAATAAACATAAAAACATAAATTTTCCAATGGATTTTACTTGATGAAAGCCATAATTTAGACAAAAATGTAAGGAAAGTAATGTTATTTTTGTCTCATGTAAATGTGGGAGTCTAGGGAAAAATCAGATCTTCTACAAAAATAAGTTTATGGCAGTCACAAAGCTAGATGTGTGATAGAGGGACATATTCAAGAAACAGTGAGTTCAGACTTCCCTCAGGGTGTATTCAACGTCCGATGGCGACTATTCACCAATTCAAAACAACCCGTAGACGGACAAGGAGAACGCGAACAGGCAAGCACGGTGGCGCCTGCAGGAAGCGACTGAAATGTGAGAGACTCAGTTTAAAGTATGTTCGTGTTCTCTACTGGAACTGCGCTTCGTTTAGTCAACGCCGACCCATTTTTGAGAAGCTCCTCTACAGCAACGACATTGTTGTCCTACAGGAAACACACCTCGGTGACGAGATCGTTAAAATTGCGGGCTTCCAATCCTTCTACAATAGACGGCACCTCGGACAGCTCATTCTTGTTCGTGACAACATACCGGTGTCTGAGGTGGACATGTCTGAGTGGGATAATGACGACCTACAAGTACACGCAGTCAGAATGTTGGGCCCGGCCCAGTTTGTGATTGTCAATGTGTACGCCTGCAATGGAAAGGTGGATACAGCGAAATGGCAGAGTTTGCTCCAGACGGAGGAAAAGAAAGTCCTTTACTGCGGAGATTTCAACGCCAGAGGAAACCAGTGGGGAAATGTAATCACCAATAAACAGGGGGAAGACCTGGAGGATGCCCTAGTGTCTGCCGATCTAGTATGCTTGAACGACGGAAAGGTTACCCGAATGGCAACCCGACAAGGGGATTCTGACAGCGTAATTGACCTGGCCCTAGTGTCTCCCTCCATTGCATCAGGATGCAGGTGGAGCACACTGGGATACCATGACAGTGATCACTTTTCTTGCGTCGTCCTGGTGGAGAAGAGCAACAACAAAGGTCATGTAATCAATGTGCCTGCTTTTCTATATGACCGTACAGGGCAAGATGCCATTAGCAAAATCAGACGACGTAAAACAAGAGCAGATCGCAGACGGCGGGAGAGATGGGCCCAGCCACCATGGTGGAATGAAGTAGTCAACATGGCGTGGCTAGAAAAAAGGAACGCTGTCAAGGCATGGCAAAAGGCAAGGAAAATTGATCCGTCACTTTCTGAACGCCTGATCAGTCTAAAAGATGAGGTTAACAAGCGGACAGTGGCTTTCAAGTTAATTGCCAAAGAAGCCAAGACAGCGAAATGGAACGAATTCTGCAAGAGCGTTTGCTCCGAGGGATCTCTTGTGACATTCTGGCGCCTTCAACGGAGCATGCACGGCGCCGCACGACCAAGGGGTATCCCTGATTTTGAGGGTACAGACCTGATATGGCAGAGAACTGATGCTGATAAAGGAAAAACCCTTCTTGCGCGCTACTTGGAGCAAACTGACCAAAAAGACGAAGCTGCAAGAATAGGGGTTAAGATGAAACTGTCGATGCTGTGCGAGAACACTGAGCTAGGCACTGATCTCACAATCACTGCAGATACCTTAAGAACTTGCCTCAAGAAATCGCGCAGCACTGCTCCAGGCCCTGACGGCATCCGATACAATGACATGCTGATGATGTCGAATGCTGATTTGAAAAGCGTGGCAAAGGAATTCAATATCAGCATCCAGAGTGGCCAGATACAAGAGGAATGGCTCCATAGTTATTTGTTCCCACTACCAAAGCCTAATAAAGACCACTCAAAGATCTGCGGCTACAGAATCATCTCGATGCAGAATACTGTTGGCAAACTTTTGGAAAAAATTGTCGCACAAAGATTGACCACCTACTTGGAACTACATGATAAGTTCCCATCAACACTTGGAGGGTACAGGTTGAAGAAAGAGACATGGTTCAATGCTGCTGTTTTCGCCTACGATGTGTACGAGGGATTTCAGATTAAAGAAGAGACATGTGCGGCAGTGTTGGACTTAGAAGATGCCTACAATAAAGTACCATACGAATATTTAATGCAATTACTGCTTAAACTAGAAGTCAATCCTATTCTGATCCGCTGGATTGCTGCGATCCTGTTCCAGAGAAAGATTGTACTAAGATGTGGTAGCTGGTCCTCAGAACCGCAAACGATATGTCCAGGCTTGCCACAGGGATCACCGCTATCACCAGTCTTATTCAACGTTTATACGGTGATGATCACTGAGCAGCAGTTGAATGGAAAGGGAAGGACTTTGTCATTTGCTGATGACATTTTGATTTATCGACGAGGGCGTGATAGACAGGAGATCGCCAGCACAATGCACAAAGAACTCGATCGAATTGCCGCCTGGTGTGATGGTTCCAATGCCTATGTCAATCCTTCGAAGGCATCAGTGTCATGGTTCTCTTTGAACAATCACATTGTCAAGTCGGACTTACCAGAAGTGAAAATGCGTGATAATATATTGATCAGAAGCAACGTTATGACGTTTCTCGGGGTGAGGTTCGATCGCAGCTTGTCATTCAGGGAACACGTTGACCATGTGATAACAAAAGCACGCAAAAGTCTATCTGCAATGAGGATTATGGCTGCTTCCAATATCGAGCAAAGACTACTAATACTTCTATTCTACGGTCTGGTCCTTTCACCCATTGAATACGCTCTGGCCATCCTCACTGTCAGTGCTACCCAGATTGAAAGACTCGAAAAGGTGCAAAATGAAGCCATGCGCATTATTTTGGGATGTACAAGAGACACATCCTGTGAAGCAATGAGGTATCTACTTGACTTTCCAACAATGAACCAAAGGATCAGAATGTGGAGGGCTCGGGCATACCTCAAAATATGTGCTGATAAGAAACACCCACTGCATCAAGCGCTTTTTAGTGAAAAGGGCGACAGACTGAAGAGGGGAAAATCGTGGCTAGGTCGGGCAGAAGATGTTATTAGGCAAATATGCAGCCTAACCGACATCATACCTGGTGCAGAATGGATACCTGTGCCTCAGGCGTTTATTTGTACATTTTCCTGTATTGTCACACTCAACAGGCGATGTAGAGAAGAGAATCCTGTTGCTGTTAATGCAGAGGTCAACGCTCTCATCGGTGAAAATTCAGACGAAGCAGATGCACTAATCTACACAGACGGATCCGTTATACGCCAAAGAAGAAGCGCATGGGCATTTACAGCACGCTCAGCGGGCAGAACAGTCAAAGAAGCCAACGGTGCCTTCTCCATGACAACCAGCAGCATGACGATGGAGGTGATGGCAGTGACGCAAGCGTTTGCCTGGCTTGAAACACAAAAATACACCCGCATATGTATACTCAGTGATTCAATGAGTATGATCCGGAGGGTTCAGGCAGGTTCAGTGCGAAGACAATGGCTTGAATCATTACAGAAGTCCACTGTGCGTGGAGTCACCTTTATTTTTGTTCCGGGACACGCAGGCGTCGATGGAAATGAAAGAGCTGACAGGTTGGCTGGATCCGCTATCACTACCGACGGTCGGCCTATGGATCATGCTGATATTATCAATGCCCTCAGAGAAATGGGAAGGATAGAGGACTTTGGTGGCAGTGAATCCACATCACTCGCCAGAATGGCAGACTTGGGAATTAAGATCGGCACAGCAAAAAACGAGACGCACACCGGACACGTCAGAAGACTTGTTAATCAACATAGAACTGGTACTATTAGCCATCGGACGTTGGGGTTCATACTGAGGGGAGGATCTGAGCACCTATGGACATGTCCGGAGTGCAATGATGATAACCCAACTAACTAACTAACTAACTAACTAACTAACTAACTAACTAACTAATTCAAGAAACAACCCTTTCACCCAAAGAAACCACTGCTTGTTGGGTACAGTCCCCATAAATGTCACTTTTCTGACTTGTCCATAGTAACCTAACCTTAAGGGGACACATTGTAAATGCTGTGGTTCTTTCCCAATATCTCCCTCCAGATGTCATCATGGTTTCTCGCTGTGTGTGTGTGTGTGTGTGTCTTCGTTGCAAAGTGTTGACATCTGTTGCCAAGGTGTTGGCGCATTTCTTCTTTGGCACGTTTCTAATTCCGGTAGGCGTCTTTCCAGCAACTTGTGTGTTCAGTCTTCATTCTGGCGGGCATCTCTCCAGCAACTTGTGTGTTCAGTCTTCATTCTGGCGGGCATCTCTCCAGCAACTTGTGTGTTCAGACATCCCCATGAATTTCCTGGAATTAGCAGCATTGATGCCTGCCAAGGAGGCCAGCGTTGCTTTCCTCTCAACATCATGGCGTTCTGCATAGCACCAGACATCACAGTAATCATGCGATGCTGTTATCGATGACAAAAAAAGAGGACCGATCGCGGTGTCAAAAGTTGACCTGTTGTCTCTACATACATTACAGACAAGTGCATGGCTCAAAGGGTCGCGCCTGCATTAGAGACAGATCATTCTGTTTCTATACTACTGGTCTTATGAGTTGACAAGCATTCAGTTTTGCCAAATATAGCTAGGCAGGTCTAAGAACACAACTGTGGATTAGAGCAACTACATACAGAGGTTTGTGCCAATACACTATTATAGAAATCTGCGGTGATCGGTGGAGGGAACACCACTTTTGAAATTGATGAAAGTCTGTTTGCAAGGCAGAAAAATCATGTGGCATTGCTGCTGCTGCTGTCGCCGCAATAGCAGGGGCCGCATTCTGACCTCTCTCCAGGTCTACTAACATGTCAAATTGTTCTTATTGTCATTTTGTGCGGAAACCCAGCAGTATACATTAAGAATGGTTGGACCTTTTAGGGCCACCCCCACAGTACCCCAGTTGACAATTTCTCCCCGATTGCACAAAGAGTTAAAAAAAAAAAAACATCAGCTGCCGGCAACATCAGGTGTTTTATATTCCACTATGCTAGCGCTTTTAATGACCCTAAAACATTCACAAAACGTTACTGTAATGCTTTATTGAATTGAAATAATAAAAGCCCCTGAAAAAAACTCACCACGATATGGATTTTAACCTAGATCTTCAGGCCAGTGTTTAGCTACTACACTAACATGACTCCCTAGTGCTGTGATGTTGGTTCTTACCTTTTCTCAAATTACACTGAGCTGAAGAGGGTGGTTGAAAGCAAGACAGTGACATCATTAGATGACTTCAAAACGTTTTCAGTGCTAACTTGTTATAATCACACACTGTTGTGTTCACAGGTGGTGAGGTTTTTTAACCTGACAATCTTATCGCTGCTGCTGTATGCGGTTCTGACTGTCTTATTGATTGCATCATATTCTGAAGGATGGACGTCACCGGATAAATATAAAGTAAGCTGACATTAGACATCAGAAAGAGAATAGGAATGGTCAACATAGTTTTCAGACATTTTTCAGCAGTTATGTCTAGAGAAATCAGTCAGTCAATCAGATGCCATCTTCACAATGAAGATTGGCTCTAATGGAACTCCAGCACACACTGTCTTTTGCAGTAGTTATACTTTCTGTTTGTTCATCTTTGGTTGTTTTCCTCCCATTTGTATTGCTGCCTATCTTTTGCTTGCCTTAATTTCCTGCAGTATGCTTTTTTTTTAAAGAAATTTTTTTTAATGCAGCTAAACTTTGTCATTTGCCCTTGACCATTTTATTCCCCAAATTCACTCTCTTCAGAAAGTCTGATTTGATTGGTTGTGTTGTGTCCACGCAGTATGATGATTTTTTTCTAGAGAGATGAAAAAAAAAGTAAAGTCTGGAAATGTGAACCAGCGTCATTGCACACGGTTATAAACCATAAGTGCTCTGCCACCAATAAGGACAGCTGATAAGAACTGTCCGCCTGTGTCGTCGTTCGGACGTAACTCTGTAGCTACAGCGACGTTCCTCCATTTACCCCAGAGTGTTAACTCTGGTACCCATTTCCTAGAGGCTGGGTGAACCCCGGGAGCCGCCCGGTTTCGAACACCGGCCGTGGGCTGTAGCGAGTCACAGCTGGATTTGAAAGTGAGCCTCCTATCGACTGAGCTAGGTCGTTTCTAGAGAAATGAACGTAGGCAGCCGCCAGTCCCTGGGGACCATGGACTTGTGCTGCTGGTTTTAGGAACGGCGTCTGCTGGGGCTGTAAACTCCATTTTGGATGGCAGTCTCTGCCACATAGTCTGCATAAAAACCATGATTATCATTTTGAGGCTGGTTTTCTGTCACACATCTCCTCTCTATAGCTTGCTGTGTTTGGCCTTGTTCAGTCTGTGACAGTCCGACTTTCACTGTCTGCCTCCAAAGGAGACGTAAGACAAATTAAAAACATAATAAAAAATGAAAATTGCTGAATGTTATGTATACTTCTTCTTCTTCAGTTTGCTTGAAATATATATATATATCTGCAATGTAGTCTCTAGTATGAACTTCACTGTCTTTTGTAATTCACTCAGCGAGCCGAAAAGTTTAACTTGCACCAAAAGTTTTGCCTTGATATGTTGTATTTGGGTCAGTCTTGGAGGACATGATCTGTTGTCTCAGGTGCCAATCCACATGTGCACATGGCTGATTCACCAGTTTTAAAATTTTGTGTGCATGAGGTTGCAAAGTCGATTGTGTCCTGTTCTAAGGTGTAGAATAATAACTTGCTCTGGTCTGTATACTCAACCCTACTGTTGCAAAAACCCTAAAAGTGAACAAGCAGCTAGGAAGTTGAATAGAGGCCTTGGAGATGAGGATGTGCGGAAGAATAGGTTTTATCTAGGAACACCAAACAAAACACCCACAAATCTGGACAGACTGAGTTGTTGAACACAATTTGTAAAGACGCAAGTAAAATATTTTCGCCTATTTCAAAGATACAACATTCTTATAAAAGATATTTTAAAAATGGGGTGGGGTGAGGAACTCCTTTAATGCAAGTGGTGTATTGGGCAGATGAAGCTAGCCTAATTTTTTACAGACTTCTTTGTCTTCTGCATTCATCCGAAGATGTAATTGCGTTGTGCCCATTTTTAAAATGGCCGCGATATTTGCGCCTTTCGACCGACGCACTCGACTTCTGCCGGCATTTGTTGAACTTCCTTTGGTGAAATGTACAGTGTAACTAGAGAGTGTGATCTATGTAATTCATTTGAATGGATTCATGTTTTGTGCTTCATTATAGGTTGATGTCAACTCTGAATTAGGTCGCCTGATGAGATACGGTGACATTTATTCATATATTGATTCATTCATTTAATGTCCTGTTGTAATGTTAGGAATAAAGCCAGTTTTACAAGTCATCAAAGAACAACAAATGAAGTGGTTTGGGCACCTAACAAGAATGCCCTGGTACTATCTGCCACAGCGAGCCAAACATTACAACAGGTATAGAGCGAGTGGAAGACTTTGGAAAATATGCAGTGATGGCATTAAGAACAGCCTTACAAAAATGAACATCAGTCTTAATAGTGCTCTTGACAGAGCTCGTTAATGAATGTTACATCTTCCCCTGACACTTCGCTAAGGTACAAGGTGGAAGAGAAGAAGAAGAAGAATGTCCTGTTGTGTGATTATGAGTCACATAGGATTTACAGTTTATTCCATTATTCCATTCTCTTTTTGCAAGGACTTTAAAAAAAATCATGAATAGAAACTGCTCCAGCTTTTCTCATCAGCGTTTGCCTCAGGGTTTCGCTTGGATGTTGCTCTTTCCTCAGTCCCTCTGTTTCCTATTTTAGGGCTTGTTTGACGATTCTTATTTCGTCTCTTCTCAGAATGTGTCCAGTACCACGCCATCTATTATACCTTTTATAACAGTGTCTGCCCAGACATTTCTCTTGCCGCTTCACTTAGAGTGAAATTAGCCAGGCAATAAATAGTGCAATGTATTCTTTGTGTATGTATTTAAATTCATACTTTGATACCTTTCTCAAAACCTTGTTTTGTATCCTCAGCCGGGAAGCAGGATGAAAGAAGTCCACATTTTTGTGACAATATTCACAGTGCTGGGCCTCATGTTTGCAGTAACGAGTTTCGTCCAGTACGTTGAAGTGATCTGCTGCGGGGAGGTGCCTCTCTGGTCCATGTGGGTCTCCTGCTTCTGTCCTTGCGTCTTCAGCAAGGTAATGAGACACTATGATGCACTGCATAAAATTAGACAGGCCACACCTCAGAACAGAATCACTAACAACCGTACCAAGGCAGTGAGCATAATAAATACAGTGAATGTCAGTGTAACAGATTCTGTCATTTCCAATACTGGGAGGGTGTTAAATGTAGCTGATTCAGAACAGAATTCAATACAAGTGGTGGTCCATTTGTAATTCTCGATTAGAAAAGAGGGAAGTTATTGTTGATCTAAAATTGTTGAACTCAACAAGTTCTAGTGGACCTAGAGGTGAAGAAAAAGTTGGTGTTGGATAGGACACACACAGAGAAAAGCTGAGAATAATGTAACTAGAATGTCTTTGCACTGGAGCACACTGGGGAATAGAAATAAAGGCAGATAAAAAAAACATGGAAAAGGGAGCTAGAGAGGGAAGTTAAAAAGATGGGGATGGCAGGGGTGAGTCGCATGCGATAGCAAAGAAAAAAACGCCTTGGTGTGATTTGGTTAAGGTGCTGTGCTCCATTGGGAGATAAAAAGCAGACAAAGATGAATTGTTGGTCATTGATGGAATATGTGTGTTCTGATACAAATAAGAAATTATTTTTAATACTTGTAAAGAAGTTTATCTGCAACTACAGGAAGACTAGGGTTGAATCGGGGAGCTGCTGTGGTGTAGTGACTAGACACTCGCTTGCAGATGCTAAGGTCGTGGGTTCAGGTCCTGACAGAGCTGAACTTAAAAAAAATGACCTTGGCTCCCAGGGACACCTACAGATTTGTGTTTTCCAATTGTTTAATTCTCATAAATCTTTACTGGAGCTTAACCTGTTTAATTTATTTAAACAGTCTCCCATTGGAGCACCACCAACTCATACTAAGCATTTTATTTATAATGGGATGAATTTGGTAGCTGAAAATTTTCACTGGAAGGTGGCAGTTAGTCGAATTTGCCAACCACCTATAAAAGTAAAGATATCCCTATTGCAGACACTACAGCTGTCGTGTGAAGTGTTAAACCTATTGCCCCAAGAAGGCTAAATATGGTCACTTCTGACCGTGACATAGTCCCTTAAATGCTGATATATCGCCAGATCTGCAGGTACCTGCTCTTGAAAAGCGTAGTTAAATTCTGTTGGTTCTGTATGCACCTGCGCAGTGTTTAATATCTCTATCAGTGTTGCCATTGTCTTCATTTACTTAGGTATATCTCTCTGCATCAGCACTCATTGAAGTTACATACATCTTCATCATTATTCTTCTCAGCTACTTATATGTATGTTTCGGCATCAGCATTTCAGATAATACAGGAAATACAAATTCAGGATGCCCCAAAGAAAAAAATATACTCATCCATCATTTTGAATAAGCCAAAATATGCCAGACTCGCAATTAACAGAATTGAGGAAAGGAAATTTGTCATAAAGCACTGCTGGAAGTGTTAAGTACATCACGGGCGCGCAAAGACCATTTAGGTGGCTGTGTTACAAAGTTCCCGAACATGACATGCCATTGCTCGCATCAGACATAAGTTTTTATTTGATGGAACTGTTCATGACATATAGGCAATATTTTGGAAGAACTCGAACATTTGACAGTTCAAGAAAAGAAACCCAGTTGCTGGAAGTGCTTAATCGATCCCCAAGAAAATTAATATGACTGTCGTGTCGTAAGATAGGAATTTCAAAATCGAGCATCCATTTTGTTTCTTTAACGTTATTCGTGAGTTTGGCATTGTAGGATAAAATTTACAAGTAAAAAAACAAGTATGTGGTTGAAGGGTAGATAAAGATGAGTAAATTTTTGGGGAACTCTTTGTATGTTCAATATCTTTCTGCTTTACCACTTATATGTATGATAAAATGTTTTCTTCATGCAACTGAGTAAAAAAAATTTTTTAAAGGGGAGAGAAAGAAAGAATAAACAGTCTCTGTTTAAGCCTTAACTCTTTCAGTCCCAGAAGGCTAATCCAGTGTTCCTCAAACTTTTCTTAGTCACACACTTTTTTACAATAAAAAAAAGTCAAAGTATGACTATTCGTATGTAAGAGATATAAAAAGTACAACTTGTGTATCTTCAAATATTTTGCGGCACCCCTGTGAATAGGTCGTGGCTCCCCGGGGCGCTGCCGCGCACAGTTTAGAAATCACTGGACTGAGCTAATGTCTGAGAGAGACAAGAATGACTAATCATTAAACTCATGGGTATACTACTTCCACAGGGGCCAAATGCTCAATCCTTGTAGGAGATGAATATGTTGTCTGGGTTTTTTAAAGACTCCTTGACTAAACAGGAGATATACAGAAATATATAAAGGTAGAACTAATGTTGGTCTCCCCACGGACCGTCCATATACACACTAGCTCACTTCTGATTGGTAGACCTTGAGCCATGTAACCTTGGCACAAGGTTAAGGAGTTGTTTTGCAATGCTGTGATATCGCGTGTTGCATATTTCAGCATGCCATTGCTTTTAACACTCCAAAAACATGGACAAAATGGGTCTGACAAAATCCTCCAAGAGAGTGCTGCAACCTATGTCACATTGATTCTGTTTCTTGGAACAAAAATGTAATTGCAAGACAATCCAGAACGCAAACAACAGAGCTGTACATCCGTAACCTGCAGGAAAGTAGACCAGCCCAACAAACTTATGAATGAAACGTGACCTACTTTGTTTTGGGGAGACTAACGTAAAACCTAACCATATATAAAATATTGATGGGTGCCCACACATAGTATCCTCTTACACATTGTGCGTCATTTGGGACAGAAAGAGTTAAAGGCATATGGTGCTAGACAGTAATTTTAGTGATGAAATCATTTCTTGATGGATCTTGTGGTCAACATCATGCCAGCCATCTTTACTTCCCAAGACATTTCTAAGTACCAGGTTAGATAATTACTTAATAATTACCTCAGCAGTAATCATTCATTGTTGACCTTATCTGTTTTGCCTGTTTATCTGTGTTGCCCGTTTATTTGTTTTGCCTGTTTATTGAACATCCCTGCTAGGAGTGCTTTCAGAGCTAGTATATTACCCTGCTAATTTCAGCTACAGCTTATTTTCTCTGACATAGTAGTGCTCAGTCTCCAGTTGAATACTGTCATTGGGTTCCATATGTTACTGTGAATCATGGACAAGTATACAGTCGCGAGAAGTAGCTGGCCAAATGGTTAACAACACAAGGCTGTCATGCGGTCAGCCCGGGTTCAAATCCTCAGCAAGGTTGAGCATTTCTTTCTGTCAGGGCAAAAATAAAATTCTCACCTGTACAGTCCTTTGCGACACACCAACTCTGCTGCCCTAAAACCCAAGGGTCAAAGACGTCATCCCCCTTCTGAAAGAATTTATACATTTGTGTGTGTTTTCACATGCTCAGCTGCAAATATGTATGTTTGTGTGTAACACACATGTTCAGTCACAAGCATTCTTAGATGCTAGTTTTGTTTTGTAGCATACATGTTAACTCTTTGAGTTCCAAACGGTTTAGCATCAGAGGCCCAAGGTGTGTTAATGCAGTTTTGAAATTTCACAAGTGTTACACATTAAAACATACCTTGCTAATTCAACTGTCGCATAACAAACACATACATTTAAGTGACCAAAGATTGTTGAGAAATGAAATTAGAATACTGCTGCAAAAATAAATTGTGATAATAGTTAATTATTAGTAAAATAAACAGATGATATATTTAGAGAAATTAGTAAAATATATACAAATTATTCCACTTACCACCATGGCACTCAAGGAAAACTCGATTAAATATATCCAAAATGAATCAGAAATTAAAGTAACTCGGTAAAGCTCACAAATATGCTAGATTTTATGCTTTTGACCTTGTTTTCGAATATGCCCAACAGTCAACACATGTGACATTAAACACAAAGAAGGGAAAATACCATTTAAAACTGCCGGTTTTCATTGTTCTACTGGCCAGTTGTCAGTTAAAAACCTCAATGCGTCACACGTCGATTGGTGCCAGTTGTTAATTAAAAACCTCAATGCGTCACACGTCGATTGGCGCCAGTTGTTAATTAAAAACCTCAATGCGTCACACATCGATTGGTGCCAGTTGTTAATTAAAAACCTCAATGCGTCACACATCGATTGGCGCCAGTTGTTAATTAAAAACCTCAATGCGTCACACGTCGATTGGCGCCAGTTGTTAATTATAAACCTCAATGCGTCACACGTCGATTGGCGCCAGTTGTTAATTAAAAACCTCAATGCGTCACACATCGATTGGCGCCCTGGATATTACCCAATTAGCATGTGATGCATTCATTGGGACTCAAAGAGTTGATCATCTCTTGTTAACATATTGTCTGTATGCATAGATATTACATTTACATAAATGTACATTCATAAACCCCCACAGTAACACATCAGACAGTAACACATCATTAGAAACAAAATGAATTAAACTATCAGATCAGTGGTCTTATTTAGGTTGCAGTATTGATAGTCAAAGCTACACAAAGAAAGAGATTATGACATGCATTGACAAGGTATCTGCAGCTTGTAAAAGCTTGAAAAGAAATATGGAACTCAAAATTATCTACAGTTTTAGAACCAAGCCTTGATTGGGTACCATGTGCACTCCCTGGAAGTAAAAGCCACCGGCGTGATGCAGACCACATCACCCATCTTGTGCCGATTGGTCTATACAAATATAGGTCTAGTCCTATATGCCCCATACGCCTAAAGGCGTGGAAAAGGGACCTTTACTTTCTAATATTATGTCAGTTAACATATGTCAGTGAAAGTTGGGGAATTGGTAAAGATATGGGATGCAGGTTAAATGCATTTTAAAACAAATGCCTTGAGAAAAATGATGGACCTGATTTGAATTCAAGAGGAATGAAGAAAAAAGAGACACGTCCAGGCAACTACTAGTATCATCTGTTATAAGAGAGTGAAGAGTGCTATATTGGACATATTTTGATAAGAGACGAACAGAGAATCACCAGACAGGTACTAAAATGGGAAAATAAAGTGATTGCGGGAATGAGGAATACATTGTGACAGTAGGTAAGTTGGAGAGGAGGAGAATCAGAGGGAGACCGAGTGAAAAGAGGCTGAACAGTTTGACATCATGACATGGAGGATCATCTGTGTCAGAGTTGAATGAAAGTACACGAGACAGAAGGTTGTGGATAGACATGACTACCAACGCCAGACGGCATGAACTATGGAAGATCATCTGTGTCAGATTTGATTGAAAGGACATGAGATGAAGGTTGAGGATAGACATGACTACCAACGCCAGCCGGCATGAACTATGGAAGATCATCTGTGTCAGATTTGATTGAAAGGACATGAGATGAAGGTTGAGGATAGACATGACTACCAACGCCACATGGCATGGACTATGAAAGATCATCTGTGTCAGATTTGATTGAAAGGACATGAGACAGAAGGCTATGTATAGACATGACTACCAACCCCACACGGCATGAACTATGGAAGATCATCCTTGTCAGATTTGATTGAAAGGACATGAGACAGAAGGCTGTGGATAGACATGACTACCAACGCCACACAACATGGACTTTAAGAAGAAGAAGAGGAAATGTGGACATCCAAGAGAAATCCTAACATGGACGTTGATGAGAGAAGCCAAAGGTGCCAGACTGTATTCCATCTATGGTATTGAACCGATTGAAGAGGAAAGAACTGAATGGAAGAATAGACTGCGAGCCCTATGTGACATATGATGGCACAGCAGGACGATGAAGGAAAGAATGAATCTACCACAACTCTCAACTCACATGTTTAGAGTTAAGGGGATCAACATCATTGAACAGGGTATGATTCCATATGGCTCTCTCTCTCTCTCTCTCTCTCTCTCTCTCTCTCTCTCTCTCTCTCTCTCTCTCTCTCTCTCTCTCTCTCTCTCTCTCTCTCTGCAGAGAATGGATAGCTGCCTACCAAGAGTAATAATAACTTCATAGCCCCAGGAACAAACCCTAGGGATCTCTGTAGAAAGATATAAAACCGAACGAAAAGTAGATCAGTGAGCTTCACAATATAAGAAGCAAAACATGAACGTTGCGGCTATAGAGCCTTCATCAGCACATACATACATACATACATACATCAAACAAAACCACACGAATACACAAAATCACTTAACTGAGTATCCAGAAGGAGCCACGTTGATGTCTTGCCAGTGGAGTGAGGAGAATAAATGGGACCTGAGAATAAAAAGCTGTGAATGCCAAGGGCCGTAACTCAGGAATTTTAGATGAAACTATGTTGGCAGCTCAGACCCCTGGGCGTTAATGTGCCCAAAGTGAAAATAACGCGATTTTCAAGAAACTTGCGGACTCTGTCGCTACGCTGGCTAGATTTAATGGCTTTCACCTCCATGTCGTGGTCCTGGAAATTGAAGTGCAACGGTACTGGTTTCAGGGCATTGTTCTGCACATCCAAAAGATTTTGTCTGAAGGAATCTCTGTAAAACAATGCAGTTATGTACCAAATGCCACATTCTGTAAACAGATCCATAACTTTCAGAGCAAAAGACAAATCCCTTAACCACTTAGCCACCGACCCCACACACATAAACATGCACAAATACTCACATAAACAAACACACACAATTACATGTAAACATGAAAATACACATCAGACCACATACACATGCACACACGCTCACACAGCTTTGTTTTGGCTTGCTTTAGTTTATTTGATAATGTTGGTCATTTACATTTTCTTTCACAACAGAAACGCAGACGACTGTCATTTGATTCCTCCCTCCGAGAAGAGTTCCACTCCTTCAGTGACCTGATCTAGCCCAACCCTCCTCGCAGCTGCCTCTCCAGTGTGCCTCATTCCATTGTGCTAATCACCCATCCGCTTGTACTGCACATTTTTATGCTTACAGTATAAATCTTCACTGTTTATTTTGGAGTAGATGCCTGTGTAGCAGTATTGTGGATTTTGTTAGGTCTTGAGTATAGTGTAGATTTATAACCCTTTCACCCCATGAACACTAAACAAATTGGATTTAAACCTATGGGAGGTCCCCCAAAAAATCCTTGTAAAAACAACCAGTCATTTTTCCTAGGACAAGAATGCATTTATTTAAAAATGTATTCATTTATATCTGTGAAATTTTATTTTGAAATATATAAAGGGGATAATCAGTAAACACAAACAGAGTAAAGTATAAAATGAAATTTGTTGCCCGGGTCCTAAACAAAAATATCTATTGGATGCCTGATACAGTGACCCGGTGACTTCTGGACTTCTGTCTCTTATGTTACAGGAACTATTCGGCATCGGCATCATCTTTAAAAACACATTTGTTTCACAAGAAGACCCTGTAAATGCTAGTAAATATATTCATACTCAGGACTCCTAAATGTTGCGCAGGCGCAAACAGAACCAGTGACATTAAAACTAAGCTTCTCTGAAACAGGTCACTGCAGATGTGCCAGTTTTGCATCCTTTACAGGAATGTGACAAAAGCCGAAGTGTCAAGTTCTTGGGATGACAGGGTTAAAAGTCTGATCATCTGTTTCAGTTTTGGATGTGCATATAATTGTGATTAGTTAAAAGCAAAGAGAAACCTGTTTTACACAAGGAACACCGCATGCATATTTTGCTAGACTCATGTGATATATTCAACTTCAAACCAGCCGCCTTTACTTCCGAGGACATTACCTGGTACGCTTTTTAGACTGAGTCAACCTGGGAGCCGGGGTAAAGTTAAAAAAAAAAGTCTGTCTCGATTTGGATTTGATCCAAAGACCTTCGGGATAGCAGGTGATCATCTGGGCGCTGCGGCTCTCATATTAATAGAGCTTTTGTTTTCATGTTTGCCTGATGGGCCTTTAAGATGTCTTAATCAGTAATTTAGAAAAATAAATAAAACGTGTGTGTTATGGGGCCCCATTTTGGAAAATAAAGAATAGACCCGATGCCCCCCCCCTCTTCCCCGCGCCCCCCCCCCCCTCTCTTCCCCCCCCCCCCCCCCCATCAAGCATGTCATAGGAGGAGACTGATTATGAGTGTGATCTTCAAAGTTGGATTGCATTTCTCTGAATGGCAAGGAACGTCTGCATACAGATAAGCCAGATCTGTAAAACAGATGTGTATGCAAAACTCCAGTTCTGGAGTTGGACCAAAATCCAGGAGTGGACAAACAACCAGAACTTTCTGCAGGAGTTTACAGTTGTTGAATGCTAAGAAGAATCTTACAAATGTTAGTGACTTCACTGATTTTTATAATAATTTATATTGAGATTGGGAATCTCTTGGGTTTGTTTAAAACATATAAATTGTGACTTTTTTTTTCCATTGTAAAATATCTGGATCACTTGTAAAAGTGAACATCTATCTTCTTGTTCTTCAACATTCTGAGCCTTTGAGCTTCCTTGCTGCAGATATCACCTGCCTGCATACATCTCTCAAGTTGGCCTTCTCTTTCCAGTTGGTGACACCAAGTATTTCTAGGTCTGTCCGATTCGCCTTCTTGGTCTGCCTCATGGTCTAAGACCATTCAGCTTCCTTGTGTAAAGTTTTTTTTTTAACTTCTCTGTCATCTGACATTCTGTTAATATGCCCCAGCCATTTCAGTCTTTCAGTCCTGATGGTGAACATCGGTGCTGTAACATATGATGAACATCGGTGCTGTAACATATGATGAACATCGGTGCTGTAACATATGATGAACATAGGTGCTGTAACATTTTATGTTCATTACTGGAAAATAATTATACCTATATGTTATGATTAAGACTAAGACTTCACTAGCTAACTGCCTTTATATACAACTGCTGGGTGTAGGCAGGGGGGTCTTTCAGCCTGAGGATTTAAGGCTGCACGGCTAGTGCTGTCGCCACGGACTGTGCAGGTGAGGATTTTATTTTGTCTCCGACAGAAACAAAATTCCCAGCCCTACCGAGGATTCGAACCGGTTTGGCCAGCTGTTCCTCATGATTGCACTGTGCTTGTAAAATTCAATTTTACTTTCAGGAGCCTGTTCACTAAACTCCTATGAGCAATATAGTCATTATAGTGTTAAGCAAACATTTATATATGTAAGACTGAGCACATTTGAGTATAACCTGAGTGCTGTTTTATAGATGTTGAATGACAAATTCTATTAGAATTGTCTAAGTCACCTTGCTAGACATCCTACTGTCATGCTTATTTGATATGACAAATACATGTTATGTATGTATTTAATATCTGTTTTTTGTTACCCTCAAACCATGATTCTGTTGTCATCTTTCAAAGTGAGAACAAGCACTTAGAATGTTTCTGTATCAGAGTAGTCATAAAGACAGTTAGTGCCTTGGAAAGCAACTTAACTAAATATGAACATTGAATTTTCTTGAAAAAATGTCCACTAAAAACACTGTGTTTTTAGAGTTAAAAAGTTTGTGGTAAATATGTAAATATAAAAAAAGCACATTGAAATAATGACTTGTTTGTAAAGATATGGAAGTATACACACAGAAACATTGTTAGCTCTGTAGCCCAGAGAAAACTAACTGTAGTCACTTCCGCTTGTGACACAGTCCCATAATTGCCGCCCTGTCTGCAGTAAGTAACCTGTTCTTGAAAAGCGTAGTTAAATTCCTGTGGTTCTCTTTTTACATGAGCAGTGTTTAATAAACCTGGATGTGAATATTGTAACTAAAAATCAAATTTTTGCAGGTTTTCTTGTGACTCCAATGGCTCTTTTTTTAAAAGCTAAATTAATGTTAAATTTTCCTGTAAGCCTCAGTGTTAGAGGTTAAGGCACGAGTTACCCAATACATATTTTTTCTTAGCCCCAGAGAGTTTTATTCAGTTTAATGCCCCATTATGGGGAAAACAAGAATAGACCCACTGCCTCCCCAAAAAGCATGTTGTAAGAGTCGACTAATTGGGGGCTTCCTTTGAAGTCGGAGTGCATCTGCCTGAGAGGCAAGGAACCAGCAATCTGCATACAAAAAAAGTCAGTTCTGTAAACAGATGCATACGCAAAAATCAGGTCCTGGAACAAAGCCAAAGTCCAGAAATGAATGAACAACCCGGTCTTTCCACTGGAGTTTAAAGCCGGTGAACGCAAACAAACAACAACAACAATTTAATGCTTCACTCTGCTCGTGTTTGTTGATTACCTATTTTATATGTCTTCGTATATTTAAAAAAAAAAAAACTAAACTGTTTTATACATCTTGGTTTATGTATCAGATAAATGTATATAATCCATCTTGATTGATGGAGCCGGACCTTTTTCAAAAATGACCTTGACTTCCAGGTCGACCCAGCCTTGAATGGGTACTAGGTACAGTCCTGGAAAGAAAAGGCGGCCAGCGTGGTGCTGACCACATCACTTATCAAGTGCAAATTGGTCTATAAAATAGAGGTCTAGCCCTATATTCCCAATACGTCTAAAGGCATGGAAAAGGGACCTTTACCTTTGCTTTATCTATGTAAGATATAAACTAAATTTATTTCATCCATCTTTGAATAGATATAAACTAAATTTATGTAATCCATCTGGGTATCAATAAAAACAAAATTTATTTATTCCTTCTTTCTGTAGATATTAACTGAATTTATTTAATCCATGTTTGTATAAATATAAACTTAAGTTTGTATAATCCATCTTGCTATAGATGTAAGCTGAATTTATTTTGCCCATCTGTGTCTATATATAAACAAAATTTATTTAGTCTGTCTTGGTATGGTAATAAAGTGAACACATACACTTCCACTGGGTAGAAATACAAACTACATGCACTGAGAAAAAACATGATCCATTTTGGCATAGATATAAACTAAATTTGCACGATCCATGTTGATACAGATATACCTGCAATTGTATCCATCTCGGTATATGTAATACAACCTAAATGCACAGAGAAGACATCATTAATCAAAATAAACATAGTAATAAGTCATTTCCACGTATTTAAGTTTTAATTTTAATTTTTATTAATTAGTTCTATTTCCACTTGTCATTGTTTTTTCTTGTCATTTGTTATCGCATTGTGTGACTTGTTTGTTGCTTTCTCCAACATAGTTCATGATTGATAAGAACATCATAATACCCGATCAGTATTAAATTGAGATGAAAACAAATCTTGTGTATTCATTACAGGCTGTTGCAGAACCGACCTCATAATTTTTGTTTTTGGCAGTTTGGGATTTTGCAATGCAATTTTACATTCAGTAGTTTGCCATGGCTCTTTGGATGGCACCCGATATCGTTGTCAGAATCAGAGTGGTCTGCTGCCAAATTGAGGTATCAACTTTGAATTAGAGCATGGTGTCTCATAAGTTTCCACACATAGGAAAAATATCAATTTTTTGAAAGCACATTTCTATGTGCGTCCTCTATTGCTGAAGAACATGCATGAGCACATTTGTTGCTGAGCTTATAATGGCGTTGGTTTTATGTTTGTGTTTCCTATGTTCGGAAACTTATAGGACAATCTTTATGAAAAGGAGGAGAACTTTCACATGTGGGTTCTAGGGCCCATTTTGATGGTGGAGAGGTCGTGAAGAATAGATCCACTACCTCCCTAACAATCATGTCGCACAAGGGGACTGATTAGGGAAGTTTCCTTCCAAGTCAGAGCGCATCTACCTTAGAGGCAAGGAACTAACAGTCTGCATACACATAAAAGTAAGTAAGTAAAGTAAAGATCCCTTTTCACACTTTTGGGCACATCAGGCATATGGGAAAAGCACGCATATTTTTACAGACCAATCGGCACTAGGGGGGTAATGTCAGTATTCATCACCACATCATCATCACCATGAACTATTCTGCCGTTAAGCGTTGTGGG